TATATATATATATATATATTTTGATAATTAATCATATAATTTTATTAAATATATTAGGAATAGAGTATATCGAGACAGATCACTGACATACTCTCTCAAATTGATGTTGGACAATCAAGAAGCATCAATGTGTCAATCATAAACTAATGATGATGGCGAGATAGAACTTTGTTATAGGACATGAGCTGTTTGGTTCTCGGTGGAGATGTGAGGAAGAGAAATCTCATGGCGACCCAGCACTTCACGAATAGAATTGGAATTATCTCATGATGCTTGGTACTCTTATGGAAAAATGGATAACTAGCAATCTGAAAAACACTCAACTAGCCTCGAAGCCATACGATTTTTAGAATAGGCTGATGGCATGGCCAAATATTTAGACTCAGTAGAAGACTTCGAGACACGAGCTTGCTTCTTACTTCTTCCAAGAAATAAATGCACTAGGAAGAAAAATACACCAATTGGTGATAGAATGATGAGTATCAGTACAGTCAGCCTAATCAAACATAAAATTCTAGAAGGAAAGAACAATTGCAGTTAGAGGTATGTTTGAGGTAAGGAAAAAGACGACGAACAGCAGCTAAATGGGTCTGGGAAGAAGCATGCATAAACTAATTGATTTGTTAAAAAACAAAATAGATATTAGGTGTGATGATGGTAAAATAATTTATACTTCCCACCAGCTGCTGAGGGATCAAATAAGGGGTCACCACCCTCCTCACTAAATTTTAAATTAACTTACATAGGAGTGAGGGTCGAATTGTTATCCTAAAGACCGTCTAAAGGGAGAAGCTATTGGGTGTTCTTATGCTGGTGCAGAAGTTTGCCTTTAGGATTATGCTAAAACAAGGATTCTAGTTGCAGTGGAAGTTTCTCAAACTACATATCAGACCATGTAATCACAATTTCATCGACAAGCACAAATAGTATAATAATTCTAATAGTAGTTGTGCAAAAATCCTATTTTAAACAAGAAGGAATGAAGATAAAATCTATTACAATTAGAAATCTTAAATATCCTTTTGTAAATATCTAACCTTTATTCTATTTATAATAGGATTGTCTTAAGGAAACTAAATTCTAAAAAGAAATAACCTAAAATCCTAATCTAAAACAAAGTACAAATCCTATTCTCAAAAAAGAAAGAAAAAGATAAAATCTTTTACTACTACAAATCCTAAATATCCCATTATAAATAATTAACTTTCATCCTATTTATAGGTTGTCCTACATCATCTCTCCCACTTGAAATAAAAAAAACTCATTCTCGAGTTTGGTTGAAGAAAGAAAATCAATCAATCTGGAGGAAAATATTATCAATACTGATATTAAAGAGATGTCAATTTCTTAATTTGCTCGATACTTTGAAGTCAACTTCGTTCCTACCATTTTCATTCTATTTTCTTCACGAACAATTCCTACGTGGCATTCCTTCATAAACAAAGCATGGTTCAATCTATCATCCTTGAATCTGCTCTCGATAAAGATCACTAATGTTATTTTCAATTCTTCACACTTTTTATCTTATGCTATGATGTCTAGTGATGCTCTCTTCAATACAAAAGAATTGGCATGGGCCTATTTGGTGCAGAAGTGTTTGTAAAATGTAACAAATAAGAACGATTTGGGATAATCTTGTCTTGCATAAAAGTGTACAATACATTTATAGGCAAAATTATTCTCTAATCCTATCAACACAAGAAAACTAAATTCTAAAGTGAAATAAACTAAAATCCCAATCTAAAAGAAATTAAGAACCTATTCTAAACAAAAGAAAGAAAAAATCTATTACTACTAAAAATCTTAAATATCGTATTATAAATAACTAACTTTTATCCTATTTATAATAGGATTATCCTAAATCATAATTCTTATTACTGGAATTTCCCAAATGCTTTCAAACTAAGAATCGTATAGAGTAAAAGTGAAATCTATATGCGTAGTATGAAATTTCTAAAACTATGCCGCGGTGCCTGCTTCAAATGACAGAAGGACCACTTTAAGGTACGAACTTGAGTAGAAGAATGAGAGAACATGTCTAGAGTGGGAGTCATAAAGATTTCTTCCTTCATATCACTTCTTTAAGCGACAAACCTGAGTAGAAGAATGAGAGAGCATGTCTAAATTGGGAGTCATAATTTTTTTTCCCTTCATATGGATGTAAAAATGCATTATTCACATTAATATGACTACTGACCATCCTTACGATGTAGCAATGACCATAATAGTGTGGATAATAGTTCATTTGGCCATAAGAGCAAATATTTCCTCATTATCAAAATCATATTCATATCAAATTCCAAGTGCTAGCAGACAAGCTGTATACATCTCAATAGAGCTATCATAAAATAACTTGACGGTGTAAACATATTCACATCGATCAGCTTTTACTCTAGCAAGACAAAGGATGATGCCCCAATTATGATTACCTTGAAGAGCTCGAAGTTCACTCGACATAGCTGTCGCCGATACTCTTGAGTGGAAGCTTGAGAGTAAGATTGGGTACAGAACTAGTATCAAGAGAGAGCGGAATAAGAGAAACCATACCTATCAGGAGTTTGTAAAACCTGAGCAGATTGACGAGGCTCATGCATAATTGGATTAGATGTCACTGATATAAAAGACCTAGTTGAAAGCGAGTAACATGACTAGATATATCATCAAAAGAAAGAAGTAATGTAGATGAAGAAATAGGAAAGGGCGAGACAAAAAAAAATATTGGTTTTCAAAGAAAATCACATTTTGAGAGATGCGAAGTTTGTTAATGTCTGCATCATAACGTAAACTCTTAATGAAAATTACTATGAGCAAGGAAAATACACTTAATTGCCTGTGCAGCAAGTTTGTGAAATTTAAGGTGAGGTAAGTGAACAAAACAAACGCAGCCAAAAACATGCATAGAATTATAGTAAAGAGGAACACAAATAAACGAGAATGTGAAGAATCAAGATTTAAAGTAGGGGAAGACATAATTAATTAAATACATAGTCGCAGATAATGCTTCTACCCAAAGTCTAGAAAGCACATAGGATTCAAGTATCATAGTATGAACTACATCTAAAAGATGTCGATTTTTATGCCGTGCCATTCTATTCTATTGAAGAGTGTAGGGATAAGAACGTTGAGAGATAATACTGTTTTTTTGTAGAAAAGAATGAAATTCCAAGACATTATTCCCTAAGCTCGGTGCATAATATCTTAATACAGGTAGAAAATTGAGTTTCCACATGGACGATAAAAGCTTGGAAGGTGGAAAATGCATTAGCTTTAGAATGGAGAAAATAGACCTAAGTGAAACGACTATAATCTCCAATAAACGTCATAAAAAGAAAGCACGTGGAAGCATGAGTACCCTATTGGTAAAAAACTAAAGATTTGGTTTTGTCAAGCTTTTAAAATGCACAATTAAAACACATTTCGAGAAAATTCGTTTGTATTACTTAAAGAACCATGTTTCAAGTGTATTAAAATGATAGAATTTGGATGACCCAATATCTTATGTCAAAAATAGTTATTTTTAGCGATAGATCAACTTACATAAATCGAATGAAGAAAGAAAGATGATTGAATAGAAAAAAGATGTCCCACTTTAGGCCTTATCACTATCACCTCTCCCGATTCTTGATCGTGACTCACAACCATAAGATCAAAATGAATAGCACAATTATCTTCTACCAATTGTCCAACATAAATTAAATTGGTAGATAAACTTGGAGACGCGGAAACTTGAATGAATCAAGAATCCAGATTACCAACCACTATAATAGGAAGCACACTACCACTAGTTATCTGAATATGCTGCTCACCATCATACTTATGAACATTATGTAGAGCTTCCAGATTTCTAGTCATGTGATTGGAAGCAGTAGAGTCAATTAACCAAGGAGAGGTAAGAAAATATGACTTACCCTGGAGACCAAAAGCATAGAGAGCTGAAACAATCATAAGTTGAACTACTTGGGTCTAAGAGTGTAAGCACCTTGGACAGCAACCTAGTTGGGGGCGACATATATGGAAAGCAGGATTCTATCAATTTTAAGGTCGCTCACCACAATCTTTAATAATATGACTTTCCTTTTTGAAATAGTTTTTGCTGCAATTCTTAACAATATTCTTTGCAACAGTAACACTGTGACGAGGATTTGGATCATCCTTTTCCTTGAGCGGCATAGGCTATATAGACCGTCTCAACATTAATAGCCTCTAGATTGATGTTGAGATGGGATGTGAGGTTTTATTCTTCACATAAGAGTTCTCCCAAAGATACATTCAAGGATGAGACCAGTTTGTGATAGAAACTCTGGCCATAGTTTCATTAAAAAATGATCCTGTTTGCTTTTAGAATGGACCTCTTGAAGGGCAACCAATGTTGTTTTAGAAATCTTGGACTACACCAAACCAAATAATCACTCCATAAATCAAGAACCCAAAATAAAATTATTCAGTAAATAGATTCCCGTGATGACAGTTGTTGATCTAACTCCAATTGAAACTTTCGGGCAGGGTTATCTTGATCATAAATTCGTCTAAAGGAATCAAACATTTCCCTGGCAGTAATGAATGAATGGAGATTGTTAACCATGTACGGTTCAACAGAACTCGGTAGCCTAGAAGCAATCTTGACATCCTTCCCTTCCCTTCCCATACATGATGATTTGGAGTAAGAGAAGACTATCCAAATGATCCCATAGTTCCTTCCCTTTTAGAAATATTTTGAATTGAAATTCACAACTGGCATAATTTTTGCCATTAAAATGAACAGTGGAGTGTTCACTTATGCTGAAATATAATCAAAATTCTACAGCTCCAAAAAAAATAACTTGACACTTAACAAATTGAAGAAGAAATCGACTGCTCCAAAAAAAGGAATCCAACTACAAATCAAAATTATTATACAAACTCAAAATCTGAAAAAGAGACTGACTGCTCCACAGAATTGAAGAAGTTGACTGCTCAAAAATATTGAAGAAGCCGACTGGTTCTACACATAATTGTGACTGATAGGAGGTGTCGACTGTAAAAAAAAAATTGAATTGCTGGTAACCCAGCCATAAAAGCTTTCTATTGAGCCTCTAGAGAGGTTTCGACAGACTGAAAATCACCAAGAATGGCCCTCCAAGTTCCAACAGAAAGCGCCGACAGATAAGAATTTCTGACAGTCCTAAATTGTGAGGTGGCCAGAAATTTTCGAAGAAGTATGCCGAAAAGTGTTTAAATGAGGGGCTTTGATACCATGTCAATTGCTTTGAATGACCTCAATTGAGGTTTGCTTCTCATTAAATAATCGAATTAGAGCCTCTAAATAAGGTAAATTACAATTAAATCTTCTCCTTTATAAGGAATAGATTATCGAATTAAGTGGCCGTTTGGCCCCCATTCTCATTCTTTCTCTCTCTCTTATTTTCAACCATACAATCTTCCATAAAATAATATTATACGCAAATAAAAACTTTTCATTCTTTTTCAATCACACATTATTCAAAAAAATACTATTCCAACCATTAAAATTTGGCAAGAACGGGGGCCGAACAGGGGCTAAATCTTCTATATTAGGAATAGAGTATAAAATCAAATCTCCTATATAGGAAATAGAGTATATACTCAAATTTCCTATATTAGGAATAGAGTATATTCGGACAGCTAATTAACATTTTTCATTGTTGATGTGACTTTTGATTGACATGTTATTTTAACAGAGAGAATTTGAAGAAGCCAGAAAAGATTTACAAGTTGAAGTAGAGAAAGGTACGTCTGTTGATGAAATACGGAAAAAGATTGCCAAAGGAGAGATTCAGACTAAGGTTGCTAAGCAATTGGAGAAAAAGCGGCCTTTCAGTGTTGAAAGAATCCAGCGAAAGAAAAGAGATATAATGCAGCTTCTAAATAAGTTTGCTTCTAGGCCCATTGAGGAAAGTATATCCACAGAGTCACGAGAGTTATCCACGACTGAACGTTTTGCTAAAGCGAAGGAAGATCAAATTGATGGTCCTATTCTGAACAAAAAGAAATATAAACTTGCTGACAAGGAACTTCTGGTGTGTAGACCTGCTATCAGTTTTTATAGAAAAGAATATTGGGATATGTGTAATTCTTAAAGTTCTGATGACTTGTCTCATTGAAGGTACTTGTGGCAAAATCTTCTAACAAGACAAAAGTATATTTAGCTACTGATCTTCCAGAGCCAGTTATTCTTCACTGGGCTTTGTCCAAAAAACCTGGAGAATGGGCGGTATAATATGAATGTTTATTTATGCATTATAACTCTTGCAGATCACATGAGAAATGTAAATGTACTATTTAGTTATTACCACTAATTGAACAGAATGGGGCATATTACAGGCACCACCATCCAGTGCATTACCCCTGGGTTCAGTTTCTTTAGATAAGGCTGCTGAAACCAATTTTTCAACAAGTCCTTCTGATAATCCAACCGACAAGGTCTCCAAATTGAAATTTGATATTATTCTATATGCCTGAATACTGTAAAGCATATTTGGAGTATAAAAGGTTTATGAGCATACTCTTATACTTTATATTCAATTTTCAGGTCCAATCATTAGAAATAGTAGTTGAAGAAGACAATTTTGTTGGGATGACATTTGTTCTTTTGTCTGGAGGGAACTGGGTAAAGGATAGAGGGTCGGACTTTTACGTTGAGTTTGGCTGTCAATCCAAGCTGGTTCAAAAGGTCAAGTCTGAATCTAAGTGCCCCATTCCCATTACTATACTTCGTCATAGTACATCATTTCCATCAACATACTGACTAGACTTCTAGTACATTTTTTTCACACAGAAGGTTGCTGAGGATGGCAAAGGAACGGCAAAAGCTTTGTTGGATAAGATAGCAGAGAAGGAAAGTGAGGCACAGAAGTCCTTTATGCATCGGTGAGTAATATCCTTTGGATTTCAATGTCTGTGCCATCATCACTCTTACTATTCTTCATAAATTTTTAAAGTGTTTGTGTTACCATACAAATACATGATGTTGTGTTCTTATGATAATCTCATGTAGCACATCTCACTGAATATATGGGCTTTTTAACCTTATGGTGTTTAGCACATAGCATTCTTTAAAACATTTTTTAACTCTATTTCTTTTTTATTTTTCTATTGTCTAGGCTACATTAGTATCCTGTCATAGATAGGACTTCGCAAATCATATAACTTAATAGAAAAAGTAATGAGGGATCCACGTGCTGCACTAAAAGTTGGTTCAGCTTTCATTGCATCTGTAAAAGGCATTTTACTATAAGAACAATTTGTATTCAATTGACAAAATAAATTGAATGTCACTACTATCAAAATCTTCAAATATGTGTTACAATAGCTTGTTTTTATTGGGGGTAGATGATGAACTCTGGCTCATTAATGATGCCTGATGAAAACGGATGTTCCATAATATGCAGAATCCCATTTTAGTTGATCTTTTGACCAATTCCATTCTAAGTTGTCAAAAACTGACGTGATGGTCTTATATATTGAAGTATAAAGCACTTTATTCTTTTTCTCAGATTTAATATTGCAGCAGACCTGATGGAAGAAGCCACAAAATCTGGAGAACTGGGTCTTTCTGGAATTCTTGTGTGGATGAGATTCATGGCAACAAGACAATTGATATGGAACAAAAACTACAATGTAAAACCACGGTATAAAATTTCTATATTTTCTTTGTTCGTTTATTTAGATTATATTATTTTTGTTACTCAAAATTTTAATGATCATCTCCTAAGATACGTGGCCTCGTAATGGTGGACTAGCAATTTGCATCTATGGAAAATTTTTCCTGCTTATATGCAGATTCATTTCCCTTCTCATCAGATCTTGAAGAGGCTTCGTGCTTCTTAGTGCGTTATAATCATTATCATGTTGTTGTTATCATGTAATTTTTATTTTCGTTTGTCTTTGTTAAGAAAATAAATAAATTAGAATAACATAGATTAAGCAAGAGTTTATTGGATTTATTGTGTTTTCATGTTTGTACTCTATTTCCATACTATAATCTTAATTTACTCTATATAATGAAAGTGGAGGAGATGAAAACAATTATCTTATTCTCTCCAAAGTTTATTGTATACAATTTATATTCTAACATAGTATCAAACCAATTTCTCTAGGGTTTGTAGGGTTGGCAGCGGCCCGCCCCCTCCTCGCAGGGCATTTTCCCATCCCGTTACCCATTTAACGCGGGGTAGTTGTCCCATTTACGTACCCATTATTAATTAATTTATTTTTTTATAATTTTTGATAATTTATTTTATTGTCTCCATTCATTCAAGTGATACAATAATATGATTATTAAAATTTTAAATTAATTTATTTATTTTTAAAAGTTGAACTTTATTCGAACAAATTTTTTTTTAAACTAAAGTTTATATTATTTATCATATTCTTTAGATAATCTTAGTTGTCATCTTCTATTAGAATTAATAAAATTTTGTGAAGTTTTTCAATTTAAAGTATTGAATTTTTTATTAAAAAAAATAAAAAAATAAAAACGGCGGGGTGGGGCAGGCCCTGTTACCCACACCCGCCTCGGGGTGGAATTTCCCTTCCCGCACCTTTCTCGATTACCTGATTTACTCGGTAATCTTCCCCTCGATTGGGGGCGAGGCCCGCGAGTATCAGGTTTGACTGGTATTTTTGTCATCCTTTGTACTTTCTACAGCTTATTCTTTCGACAACAAAAATACAAAAATAAAATTGGTACCGTATCTCAAATTTTCTTCCTATCGCTTCCGCTGCCTTGTTCGTGTCTCATTTGACAGCTTTCACAGTGGGGGTGTTAAAGTAGTTGATTAAAGTTGTGCGTGCTATGTAATTTTCACCCCCATCCTAGAAGTATGTTTACCGTGTAATTTTTGCAGTGTTCAACGTTCGGTTGGGATTTCTGTCGTAATTCTGTGGGGGTTGATGGTTGTACAAAGTGGGATTTCCCATGGTATTATTTCTATTGCAGTGTTCGTGGTGGTGCCAAAAGCTCTTGGATTGTGCCTTCTCTCTAGTGCTTCGACGCGTTGGACTTGCTTGTCATCGACGAATGTGGAGGCTGAGCAACTTTGTGAGTCGATTGTGTGGGCTGTAAGGGTTACGATTTAATATGTGGTGGGCTAATATATAGTGAGCAGCGTGTTTTCCTTTTGGTCCAATTTGATGTGGGATGTTTGTTGGGCCAAATTTATGTTGGTGTGTTTCTTTTTCGGGTTCGTGAGTTTATTTAAAATATTGGGATGTTGGTGCATTATTTTGGGCTGAGGTTTAGTTATACTTGGGCTTCATATTTTAGCCAACTATTGGCCCATTATTTCATGGGCTTGATTTCCTTTTTAAAGTTTGTGGGTCGATTGTTTTGGACTTCCGATTGAGGTTTATTTTGAGCCTATCGATGTTGGTTTTTGGGCGTCATTAATTATTGTTGGTTTTACTGTTGCTGGGCTAGCCAATTGTTTTGTGGACTTGTTTGTGGTGGGTTGTTGGTCTTATTATCTACAGTCCAAGTACTCATTTGTGTGGTTAATATCATGCCATTCAGTTGTGGACATAAGATCGGAGTGGACATGGTTTTAGTTCTCGGGGTAGACAATACGCTAGAGGAGGTGGGTGTCAATATACCGTGAACCTCGAAAATGTACTCACTGTAATTCTATAGGTTACTCCATAATTATTGTTGGGACTTACATGGTAAATCATCTGGTTCTTCTCATTAGGTCTTGTCTAATGAGGACCATCACACGATATTTGAACTAGTGCCGAACTCTATATGAAAATCGAAGTTTGATTCTTATGTATATCATAGGATGAGTATGCTGAGTTCTTAGCTTATAAACGGGCCAAGTCCACTTATATAGCTACTTTCGCTCAGTCACGTGATGTATCTTTTCACTGTATATTGTTATCCTCTCACAATTTGTGGATTATCAATTCTGAAGCAACTGAAATGTATTTATTGGATTCGTCGAGATTTGTAGGCTTGAACCTGCAGCTTTCGCCTTGACAGGGTGAAAAATACGAATCGGAAGCCCTTGATCGCAACGTTACTCTTTAGTTTTCTGTTGAGGTCTATCTTGTAGATGTACTCCAATTGGATCAGGCATGACTGGTTTGTCTACTTTTCTTCTTGATTATCACCTGTTACTTCTTCCAAATTTAACTCTTCAATTTTCTATAACGTTTTATCCTTCCTTGTGTGTTTTCCAAGATTTTAAGGCAAAGAAGATGATTAGTATGGGACATGAAGTTGATGGGTTATATTATATGGATTTTTCACCAGTCTCTTTTCGAGCTCTCCAGTCTTCTGTTTCACCCATGCAGTGACATTGTTGTCTTTGTCATCCTTCTATCTCCATTTTAAAACGTCAAGTTATGAATCCCCATAATGTATCCATCCTTGAATGTGAAGCTTGTCAGCTTAGTAAACATCATTGGGTGTCTTTTCCTTTAAGAATTATTAGTCGTGTTTCTAGTTTATTTGAAATCGTTCATTTTAATGTTTGGGGACTAATCAATATTTCCTCTAATAAATTTCAATATTTTGTCACTTTTGTGGATGATTATTCTCGTATGACTTTGTTATTCTTAATGAAAAATCTGAGTTACCTTCTATCTTTCAAATCTTTCATACGCTTGTCAAAGCTCAATTTAACAAAAAAAAATCTGTATTTTGTGGTCTGATAGAATGTCTGCTTCTTTGACACTATCTTTCTCCTCCAAAGTTATTATTTATTAAACGTTTTGCTCTTATAATCCGCAACAAAATGAAGTTACAGAATGCAAAAATCGTCATTTGTTAGATGTTAGTCATGCTCTCCTTTATTATATGCATGTTCCTAAATGTTTTTGGAGTGCTACTATCCTTAGTGCATGCTATCTCATTAATGACATGCCATCTTCCGTTTTAGGTGGAGTATCCCCTTTCCCTATTGTATTTTTCTCCTCTCCACAGTACTTGTTAGCTTTCAAGGTTTTTGGATGTGTTTGTTATGTTCATCACTTTGGTTCCAGTCATGACAAACTTGACTCACTCTACATAATGCATTTTCCTTGGTTACTTCTAAACACAAAAGGGATATCGTTTTTACAATCATTCTCTATAATGCTATTTTATAAGTGTAGATATCACTTTTGACAAGTCCACAACTTTTGTTTTTTTTATCGTAGTACGTCACCTGAATTTACCCTAATCGTGTTTACTTACTCGTTCCTTATCTACTGATTGGTCTTTCTCCAAAACCAGACTCGTTTCCATCTACTGCACTAGAATCATCCTCTTCTAATGAGGAACCACCTCCTCCTTTCCAAGTTTACGCTAGACGATCTAAGCTACCAATGCTTACTGCCCTATCTGTCACCTTGTCGTCTATAATTCCTGCATCAGCCATCTCTTTTGATCCTAAATCATTGCCTATTGCTCTTCGGTAAATGTACTTTGTAACTAAACATCCTCTAAGTCACTATGTCACTTTTGATTCGTCATCGTCTTCATTTTCCAGTTTCACATCCCAGCTTTCTAATGTTTTTATATCTAAGACACTGATAGAAGCCTCATTTGATTTTGAGTGGCGAAAGGAGATGGGATTGGAAATGGCGTACTTGCACTGGAACAAGACTTGAGAACTCGTCCCTTCACCATATGGGATACATCTTGTGGGCAATAGATGAGTTTATGTTTCAAAGTTCAGTCATGATGGGACTGTTAATTGATTGGAAGCCCGATTGGTTGCTAAAGGTTATACACAGACCTATTTATGATGAGATATTCTCTCCTATTGCTAAAATCTCTTCATTTGCATTTTAATATATATTGTTGCTAATCTTTGTTAGCTACTATTTCAATTGGATAATAAGAATGCCTTCATGATGATTGACACTAAGAGGTTTATATGCAGCAATTACCTGGGTTTGTTGTTGAGGAAGAGTGCCGGAACTATGTAAGTTGAAAAAAGGCTTTGTATGGATTAAAGCAATCACCAAGAGCATGGTTTGTAAGTTTTCGGAGGTTGTTCTGAAATTTAGTCTTCAGAGGTATCGGACAGATTATTCAGTATTTCATCTACAAATTGGTGTAGGTTATGTCGTCCTCGTAGTTTATGTAAATGATATTGTAATCACTGGTGATGATGCAGAAGGGATTGGCCGATTGAAATAGTTTTTACTACAACATTTTCAAACTAAAGATCTAGGCAAGTTTCGATATTTCTTGGATATTGAAGTTGCTAGTTGTTGAGCAGGTATCCATCAAAAGAACCAATTGTCGAGAGAATTAAGATGAATTTCTGCATTTCTTTGCGATGTTTATCTATCTATAAATATGTACAATCTTTAAAGTATACAAGGAAACTATATTTTACAATCCCTAAAAACCAGGAACTATTTTAATTGAAATATAATTGCTAAATATAAAGATAATATCCCTATTGATACATGTCAATAGTATCAACTTATTTCAGAGAAATATGTACTTGACATGTTAGATAAAACAAGTTTTCTTGGAACTCGACCAGTTGGTATTTCTATGGATCCTAATGCAAAGCTTTTTAATGATGAAGGAGAACCGATTGGAGAACTAGGAAAATATCGTCTTTTGGTTGGAAAATTGAACTATCTTACCATCACACGACTAGATATTTCCTATGTAGTTAGGTTATTAGTCAGTTTTTGGATGCTCATCGGATTTCTCATTGGGAAGCTGTGATGCGTATTATTTGATATTTGAAAAAGGATCCAAGTCTTGGATTATTATATAAATCAAATGGACATATTACAGTAGAAAGATTTATGGATGCAGATTTGACAGAATCTCTGTTGGATAGTAATCTACTATAGATTTTTGAATTTTTTCTCGGTGGTAATCTTGTTTCTTGGGAAGGTAAAAAACAAATTGTAGTAGTAAGTTTAAGTGCAGAAGCAAAATATAGGGTGATCACTCATACTACTGGTGAGTTAATATAGTTGTAGCACTTTTTTCGAGAAATCAATCTCCCACCTACTCCTATTCCAATGTTTTTTTGATAATCAGGCTGCTCTACATATTGCGTCTAATTCAGTCTTTCATGAGAGGACCAAACACATTGAAATTGATTGTCACTTTGTTTGAGACAAAATTGTGAGTGGTGATATATGTACACCATTTATGAAGACATAAGACCATCTTGCTTATATATTTACAAAGTCGTTAAATAATTCTCTGTTGAAGTTTCTTTATTCCAAGTTAGGCTTATATGATATATATGCTCTAAATTGAGCGGGGATGTTAAGGAAATAAATAAATTAGAATAACATAGATTAGGCAAGAGTTTATTTGGTTTATTGTGTTTTCATGTTTGCACTTTACTTCCATACGTGTAATCTTGATTTACTCTATACAATGGAAGTGAAGATGAGGAAGACAGTTATCTTCTTCTCTCCAAAGTTTATTTTATACAATTTATATTCTAACAGTTTGTAAATGCCAACATTGTTGCAGTGAGATAAGCAAAGCTCAAGACAGGCTTACAGACTTGCTCCAGAATGTTTACAGAAGTCATCCACAATGCCGTGAAATTCTGAGAATGATTATGTCAACTGTCGGTCGTGGAGGTGAAGGAGATGTGGGTCAACGAATAAGGGATGAAATATTGGTCATTCAGGTCTATATCTGAGGATTTCTGTTTTTATCTTTTCTTTTAACATAATTTGGTTCCTTGATTTTATTTTTATTTTTTTTTTACCTGCAGAGAAACAATAACTGCAAGGGTGGAATGATGGAAGAATGGCATCAAAAGCTGCATAATAATACTAGTCCTGATGATGTTGTAATATGTCAGGTATTCAGATTGTTGATCTAATTGGACTCTATATATAGTTTTTCTATGTACAACTTAAATTACATATTTTTCTTCTGCAGGCATTGATTGACTATATTAAGAGTGACTTTGACATTGGTGTTTATTGGAAGACCTTAAAGGATAATGGAATAACAAAAGAGCGCCTTCTTAGCTATGATCGTGGCATCCACTCTGAACCAAATTTTAGGAGAGATCAAAAGGATGGACTACTGCGTGATCTGGGAAATTACATGAGAACATTGAAGGTTAGTGCTAAAATGTTTTGATTAGATCTATATTTAGTTCTCATTTGTATGTGTATTTTCCTGTGGAAACTGCATTCTGACCATGAGGGCAGTTTTTGTGGAAATGATTAAATTTTCCAATTGTACTGTCTTCACGATGGTATGAATCTGAGTGTGTCTAAATCTGGAATGAAAAGCCTGGTTGAATAGTAGTACCAATCTTTTCAGTGTACTACTACAACTACTAATTTTTCAACTTCCTATGTATCTGAATTATCACTGAATTAGTAGAAACCCTAAAGTGAAATCAAATAATCTAATTAGCAGTACTGCTCAACTCGATGAAAAAAAAAAAAAAAAAAAAAAAACCCCCAAAAATTTTTTTTTTTTTTTTTTTTTTTTTTTTTTTTTTAACCAAAAACTGAATGCCTGCACTCGATGATTTCTCATATTGCCTAAAGGGGAGGGTGTGACCTGGTGGACTGTTTAGTGGACTAATTTTTTACACATTTCTTTGCTTTTAATTATGTTTCGTCGTGTTGAAAATTTCAATCAAAACATAATATGTGCAGGCAGTTCATTCAGGTGCAGATCTTGAATCAGCTATTGCAAATTGCATGGGCTACAAAGCTGAGGTAATGTCTTCATGATTTTTGTGTGCCTATCTGTCGTATATTTGAAATTGTATCTTAAGTACATATTAATTCAGGGACAAGGCTTCATGGTTGGCGTGCAGATAAATCCAGTATCAGGACTTCCATCAGGATTTCCGGTAGTTCATATGTTTTTGCACTGTAGATGATCCTTTTTAACATCCCTTGTATATAAAAGACATTCTAAATTTTTCTGTGATGTTCTGTTATAATCAAAACAGGAACTACTTCAGTTTGTCTCAGAACATGTTGAAGATAAAAATGTCGAAGCCCTTCTGGAGGTATGCAAATCCTTTTGGTTGGTTTGCTGTTTCTCTTTCGATGATTAGCCACTCGAAGCACTCCATTTTCTTTGCTTTTCTTGGTTCTGAGAAAGAATTCTTGCACTTAGGGATTGCTAGAGGCTCGTCAAGAGCTTAGACCTCTGCTTCCTCAACCAAACAACCGTCTTAAGGATCTTCTGTTCTTGGACATTGCCCTCGATTCTACAGTTAGAACAGCTGTAGAAAGGGGATACGAAGAATTGAATAATGCAAGTCCAGAGGTGTGCTATTCTTTGTCCATTTTTTTGCCTGCATAAATCCATTATTAGTTTAAATTATGGTAGTTATTCTTTGAATAATTTTTGCTCAATCAGATTCTCTTTGTATTTTGGATGTGACTGGTTTTTTGTATTCTTCAATTTCTGTTTCTGCAGAAAATTATGTATTTCATATCTCTTGTTCTCGAAAATCTCGTACTTTCAATGGACAATAATGAAGACCTCATCTATTGCTTAAAGGTAAGTCCGAATGAAATTAATTTGGAATTTGTATTTCCATTCTTTTCTGTAAGTGATTACAGAGGACATAAAATAGTAAATATTAAGCCTGGATATTTTAAGCACTTAATTGTCATAGCAACGGGGTTATATCCTTTTCTGTGATTGAACTTGAATCTCTGGTCAAGCAAGGCAAAAACTAATCAATATCTTCTAGGTCCATACAACAATACAGTCTAATGGTGTCTTCTTCTTCTTCTTCTTCTTCTTTCCTTTTTTCCTTATTGGTATAAAAAAAGTTCCCAAATATCTTCTCTTCGAGTTTAAATGATGATCATCTTTTTTAAGTTTATGCGCTTCTGTTCTTTATGAGTTATGACCTGCATAGTCTGATCTGTGTATAACAAGATAAGGATGGGTGTACATTGTACTTGATTTTTTTTGCCTGGCCTCTATAGTTTGATATATGATTAGATTTAGATGATGAATTTTTTTGTTTTCTCCTTGATTTCATTATCTCATGAAGTCAGAAGCCATTCCTGAATTTCAATTCTTTAGTTTGAGTTATAAATCACTCCATATTTGGCCCCCTTGCTGCTGCCACCAAAAATGATAATAAATGAAAACACAAAAGGAAAGCCCAATGATGCATATCTGCTTTGCATCTCCAGAGATAAATTATCTTAGTGGTTTGTCTTTGCTGCATTCAATGAATAGCACTCTAACAGCTTGTTTGTTAATCATGAAGGGGTGGAATCTAGCCCTAACGATGTCAAGGAACAAAGATAATGACTGGGCATTGTTTGCAAAATCAGTACTTGATAGAACACGACTTGCACTAGCAAGCAAGGCAGAGTCGTACCATCAGCTGATGCAGCCATCTGCAGAATATCTTGGTTCCAGGCTTGGGGTGGATGAATGGGCAGTATGTTACTCTTAACAATCTAAACTTTCATTGAATTTGTTTCATGCAACATTATCTTAAAGATAATTTCTATGATCATTTCATGTAGGTAAATATATTTACTGAAGAAATCATTCGTGCTGGATCAGCTGCTTCATTATCCTCCCTTCTTAATCGACTTGATCCTGTTCTTCGACAAACTGCTCATTTGGGAAGGTTGATAAATATCTGTTAGAATTTCAAAAGCAGTTTGCAGTTATTCATTTAGAGGCAATGATCTAAATATGTTCTGATCAATTTTAGTGTTGAAGAAACTTCAGCACTACTAATTTTCTTTCATCTTTAAAGAAGATTACTTTTTGCTCTTATTATCTGATTTGGGTAACTTAATGTTACTTCTCTGTTCTGAAACAGTTGGCAGGTTATCAGCCCAGTTGAAGCTATAGGATATGTAGTAGTGGTGGATGAGTTGCTTTCCGTTCAGAATAAATCTTATTCAAAACCAACAATTTTGGTGGCAAAATCTGTCAAAGGGGAGGAAGAAATTCCTGATGGTGTTGTCGCTGTGCTGACACCGGACATGCCTGATGTTTTGTCTCATGTTTCTGTTCGCGCACGAAATAGCAAGGTAGTATTACTACCTTTTTTGAGCCCCTAAGAGTGATTGTCACATAATAAAAATTGCAATGACATTCAAAAAACATGTTCTTGCTTGGTAGGTTTGCTTTGCTACATGCTTTGATCCCAACATATTGGCTGGGATCCAAGCAAACGATGGGAAGTTATTGCAGTTGAAACCTACACCTGCAGATGTAGTTTTTAGGTAAACTATGTTATAATTAAGAAATAACTTCGTCCAATATAATAGTATTTCTTATTGCACTGTGTTTGTAATATTTTTCACATTCATTACAAAATGCAAACTCCAAGCTCTACAAAATATGACATTTTTGTGTGGTCTCCTTCTCAATTTATCTACAGCGAGGTGAAAGAGGATGAGCTAACAAGTTCAACTAACTTGAGTGAGGTAGCGTCGTTCCCATCTGTAACCTTGATTAGAAAGCAGTTTGCTGGTAGATATGCAATATCGTCAGAGGAATTCACTAGGGAACTGGTGAGCCTTGCTGTGTCACTTTAAATTACATTTAAGTAGTTTCTTTGTTTCTTTTTCCTGTATCCTTTTAGAGTGAGACGTGCAGAATTATTATGGGATTAAAAATGCTGCCCGGATTTTTTTCATAAAGCAGGCTTACTTAATGTACAAACTTTTATTTGCCTAGGTTGGAGCCAAATCGCGCAATATCGCGTATCTCAAAGGAAAAGTACCATCTTGGGTTAAGATTCCCACCTCAATTGCCCTGCCATTTGGTGTCTTCGAAAAAGTCCTTTCCGATAATGTCAATCAGGTTTTTCTCATTTTACCAACACACTGTTGTACAATTTACAGTTCAATCACTAGTTGCGTCTTAATTTTAAAGAAATTGTTTCTGCATGATTTGATTACATATCATCATCATCATGCATTAGACATCGCCAAAGTTAGCTAGAAGAAACATTCTTGTGGAAAACAAAGAAAATACTTTTTATTCATAATATCTTACTCCTCGATTTCTCTATATATACTACAATACAATTGATTTGGAAGGAAAGAAAATATTCTATCTGAAGGAAAACAAAATTATTTCCTAAATTAACTCTAATTATTCCATACAACATATATTACAATCTCCCATAATTGATACGTGATTTCCACACTCCCCCTCAAGTTGGATCGTAGATATTGATCATATCCAACTTGTAGATGCAATCATCGAATATTTGCCTTTGTAGTCCTTTAGTGAATACATCTGCAGTCTGTTTTTTGGTAGGGATGTAGATCATGCAAATAGTTCCACTTTCAACTTTCTCCTTGATGAAGTGTCTGTCCACCTCTACATGCTTGGTTCTATCACGTTGAACTGGGTTGAGTGAGATGTTGATAGCTGTTTTATTATCATAATAGAGTTTGATTGGAAATTTTGATGGAATCTGTAGCTCATCCAAAAGTTTCTTCAATCACAAACCTTCACATATTCCTTCAGCAGTTGCTCTAAACTCTGCTTCTACACTGCTTCTGACAACTACATTTTGTTTCTTACTTCTCTAGGTTACCAAATTTCTCCATACAAAAGTATAATAGCTAGTGGTTGATCTCCTATCTTTTGTTGTTCCCGTCTAGTCAACATTAGTGAATATTTCTACCTTTTTATTCTCATTTTTCTTGAATAGTAGTCCTTTTCCAGGGAAGCCTTTAAGATATCTCAGAATTCTATATACTGCTTCTAGATGTGTCTCCCTTGGAGCATGCGGGCTTACCACGCTTACTGGAAATGCAATATCTGGTCTAGTGTGAGATAAGTAAATTAGTTTTCCCTCAAGTTTTTGATATCTTTCCTTTTCAACAAATTCTCCGATATTATCTATTTTCCTTGCACTGTCCATAGGAGTATCACATGGTTTACACCCAAGCGTACCAGTTTCAGTTAGGAGGTCTATAACATACTTTCGTTGTGACACACTGATCCCTTTCTTTGATCTGACTAATTCTATTCCTAGAAAATATCGCATTTGTCCTAGGTCTTTCACTTCAAATTCTGCATCTAATCCTCTTTTTAGCCTCTAAATCTCAACTGTATTATCTCTGGTGAGAATTAGGTCGTCAACATAGACAATTAGAATAGTCCTTGTCCCATCTTTAAACAGTTTAAAAAAATAGTATGATCTGATAGCCCTTGTTGGTATCCCTATCCTTTTAACTCGCTTGCGAATCTTTCAAACCATGTCCTAGGTAATCGCTTGAGACCATATAGAAATTTCTTCGATTTGCATACTTTATTTCCTTCATTTCCTTTAGAAAATCCAGGTGGTGGCATCATATAGACTTCTTCTTTCAACTCCCCATTCAGGAATGCATTCTTAATATCAAGTTGTTGGAGTGGCCAATCCATATTTGTTGCTAGTGATAGTAGATCGGATTGTATTCAGTTTCGCAACTGGAGCGAATGTTTCTGTGTAATCATGCCATAGGTTTGAGTATATTTCTTTGCAACCAGACGAGCCTTGTACTGTTCTATCGTTCCATCTGCTTTATATTTTACTTTAAACACCCATTCACACCCAACAAGTCTCTTTCCCCTTGGTAGTTCCATCACATCCCAGGTTTTATTTGCTTCCAATTCTCTCATTTCACCCATTAATGCTCTTTTCCAATTGCAAATTTCTAAGGCCTCTTGGATGTTTCTTGGAATTTTTGTGCTATTAAGGTTAGAAACATATGTTCTAAATTTTGAAGATAGAGTATTATAAGCAACAAATTTAGAGATAGGGTGAAGGGTACATGATCGAGATTGTTTCCAGAGAGCAATAGGTAGATCATCAATGTTAGGTGATTTTGGAGAAAGCTCATGAGGATTTGGAGCTATCACCGGTTCCGACTCTCTTGGTGCCTCGAGTGTGAGTTTTTCCTTATCCTTTGACTTTGACTTTCTTGAGCAAACAATCATCTCCTTTTCATGTTGTTCTTTCTGTTCTTCCCCTGAGTTTAAGTTATCTTCTGTAAATGGCAAGTTAGAACGTGGTGGTGATCAGGGGCGGAGCCAGGATTTATGTTCAGTGCGGGCATCATTTTTCGACACCGAACTTCAAGGTTTTGGTCATAAATTTAATGATGATAAAAAAATAAAACAATATTACAACAACACTAAAAACGACATAATTTATATATTAAACTTGTTCCTTGCGAGTTTTCGTATTTTGATATCGTCGTACAATAACTTCATTATCGAGATTCAAAAATATATCTCTTCTACATAAACAATAGTACTATCATTCATCCACTGATCACCCATCCGATTGCGTAATCTATTCTTTACGATACTCATTGCAGAAAAAATTCTCTCCACAGTAGCGGTAGCAACCGGTAAAATCAATGCTAAAGTCAAAAGTCTGTAAATAAATGGATATACCTAATCTCTCTTTGTCAAAACTAACTTCTCTGCAAGATCACCAAGGCCATTCAACCTTTCAAACTCGTTGTTAGAGCGCATGTCAAAAATATAAGTCTCAAGTTGATCGCTAAGTACAACACCATCTACTGCAGAGAAATCTAATGGATAAAGCTCCGCAAGTCTAATCAAATTTTTCTTGTCAAAAGAAGAAAATGAATCTTGTGGGCATAAACAAGCTACTCAAAGGAGTAACTCTGTATTTACCTCCGAGAAACGATCATTCAATTCTTGAAGTTGTAAATCGATGACAGAGTAAAATAAATATACTCGATAATGATGTAAATTTGTAATTTCTGGAGAATTACGCTGAGGGCGACCACGAATTGCAAGGCGTACAAACATATCATCCATGTTGGGTACATGAATATAATGTTTTTGACAAAAAGAATATACTTCCAAAAAGGAGTCCCACCCTTCGTCTCTCATTATTTGGAGTCGTCGTTTGCACAATCTCACCAATTGCATTGCATTCACAATATCTTGATCTTTTCTTTGCAATGCCTTTGACAGTTCATTTGAAATCCCCAACACACTTCTCATCAACTGTAGATTAAATGCAAAATTAAATCTTTGTGTCAACTCCAATAAATTTGTTGCATCAGATCTTTGATCACAAGAGCAAGACTCATCTTCAATAATTATTACAAGTACATCTAAAACAGAAGAGAACATGGCAAGCAAGCTGACCAAAGAATTATAATGTGAAGCTGACCAAAGAATTATAATGTGAACTACATCGTGTATCACCAGAGCGCTGAAGGGTCGTTTCTTGATTAAGTCCCCGTCCACTTAGAATCTCACCTTTCTCCAATGCCTCAACAATAAAGTCTAATTGTTTTTCTCGAAGAAGATCACATCGTTTGGAAGATGCTCCAACAGTATTTATTACGTTCCCAACCACACCAAAGAAGTTAGTAATAGGGATTTTTTCTTTGCCACAGCCACAAGCGTAAGTTGGAGTTGATGAGCAAAATAGTGAATGTAAAAGGCACATGGACTCTTATTCAAAATGAGTGTTTTCAGACCATTAAACTTACCTTGCATATTACTTGCTCTATCATAACCTTGTCCTTTCAATCTAGACATACTCAAGTTATATCTAGAAAATACCTTATCAATTGCAGCCTTTAGTGATAGAGCCGTGGTGCTTGTAACATGTTCAATTCCTATGAAGCGTTCATTGACATGCCCACTATTGTCTACATAACGTAAAACAATAGACATTTGCTCCTTCATTGACACATCACAAGATTCATCAACTAGAATAGAAAATAGCGAGTCGCCAACATTTTTGATAATAACATTGATCGTTTCAATAGCACAAGCATTTACTATATCCTTTTGAACATCAGGTGATGTCAATTTGCAATTGTGAGGAGCATTTCCCAATGTGACGGCATTGATAACTTCATTATGAGCAGCCAAAAATTGATATTGCACTAAGAAGTTACCTGGATTGAGAGAATTCTCAGATTTATCATGACCTCGAAATGAGTGCCCTTGTCGCAAAAGAACTCGAACACAATCAATGGATTCATTAAGGCGTGTAACATATGCATTTCTTGCTTGTTCTGACTGTTTGTAGAAAACTGATTGAATGTGTTATTCATCAACACTTCACATTTAATGCGAGCTTGATTATGTGCACTATCATGAAGCCCAACATGAGTATGAAGCCTTTTTTTATCTTTCGAGTATGTAAAACCTTCGCTAACAAAAGACTCACCTCCACCTTGCTTTCCAGAACTTGTTTTGAAAAGATAACAATACAAACAATAAGCAGCATCCTTCTCTACACTGTACTCCAACCAACTACCGAACTCTTTCAACCACGAAGGATTGAATCGTCTAATTTGTTACTCCAAATTGTCGTTTTGGAAAGTCATGATCTTGGGGCTGACAAGGACCCTTTAACATATATGCTCTTCGAACTTCATCTCGGATGTTAGCATTATAATCCAAAATGGGTATCCTTAGACCAGGATCAGTTGGAAGTTTTGTGACATCAAACTCCACATCATTCGATAACCCTCATCAACATCCACATTATTCGATACCCCCTCATCAACACTGTCTACGTTCCTTTTTCGTTGAAAATATCTATTCATTTGATATCTGGATTTAAACATTTGATATCCAGTTATTACTTGAAGTGAGTGAGAATAATTCATAATAACAAAATGATCATAAATTCACAATTTCACAATTTCAATTCGCAAGTGCAATTCACATTTCACAATCCAATTCACAATTTCACAATTTCAATTCGCAAGTGCAATTCACATTTCACAATCCAATTCACAATTTCACATTATCAATCCAATTTCACAATATCAATTAACCTTCCAAATCGCAAATTTACAATGCAATTTATACTATTTCACAATCTAATTCACAATTCACAATTTCACACTATCAATCCTATTTCACAATATCAATTTACCTTCCAAATCGCAAATTCACAATGCAATTTATACTATTTCACAATCTACTTCACAATTCACAATTTTCAATTTCACACTATCAATCCAATTTCACAATATCAATTCACCTTCCACATCACAAATTCACAATGCAATTTATACTATTTCACAATCTAATTCACAATTTCACACTATCAATCTAATTTCACAACATAAATTCACATACCAAGTTATCCTTGTGTGACAGAGTGACAGAGTGAGAATGACTGAATCAATGAGAATCTGCAAAATCGAAGAAATGAAAATTAGGCAGCAGGCAGCAGCAGCCATAAGTTAAAAATAATCTTTGTATCTCGCAGACTCGCACCGACAGACGGCTCACGACAGTTTAATTGGAATTTGGAAGAACATCTAAATTCGAAATTAATTACCTTCTTTACAGGCGGCAGCTGGTGCGGACCGTGCGGTGGTGCCTGGCAGACGGCAGTTCAGTTGTGGCCTAATCTAGGAGATGCACTTCACTGACTTCAGTTTCGGCCTAATCTAGACGGCAAGGGCGGAGCTTACACTTACAGGGAACTAAGGGAAGGAGATTAAAGCCCCTAATCTAGGAGATGCCGGCCACCGGCGACCGGTGCAGGGGCGGAGACGGGCGGAGCTTCGACTTTGAGAGCGCAGGTGAGAGACGAGTATGGAGAGAGAGGCGATTAACGGATTAAGGGTTTGGCCTGATTTTGATTTCAAACGGGTTAAGAATGATGGGTCTGGGTCACTGGGTCGAGGTCGGTAAACGTAAACGGGTTATGGGCTGTGGTTACTTGGGTTGGGCTTCCATCTGGATTGTTACTTGTTAACTAGGCTTTCAAAAAAAAAAAAAAGGTTGTACACCCAAACTCTTTTAGAGGTAGATTAGAAGTGAGGCGAGTGTTAGGAAAGACATCCCGGAATTTTTGGAGAGGAGTTTCAAAATTCAGAGTTCGGCTAGGCATTCTGTTAATGAGGTAGGCTAATGTGAGAAGAGCATCACCCCAAAAAGTATTGTGCATATTTGTAGTCAACATTAGGGATCGAGCTACGTCGAGTAGGTGCCTATTTTTTCGTTCCGCAACCCCATTTTGTTGGGGAGTATCAACACAAGAACTTTGGTGAATTATTCCATTTTCTTGGAGATAGGTTCTTAGTGTACTATTGAAATACTCTGTGCTGTTGTTTGTACGCAAAATTTGGATTTTTGTCTGAAATTGGGTTTGGACCATTGAGTAGAAATTTATGAATACGGACATCAATTTTTTCTTTTAGCATATAAACCCAACAAAGTCTAGTATAGTCCTCGATAGATGTGACAAACCACTTTGTGTGGGTACGATTAGGGATTCGAGAGGGTCCCCATAGATCACCGTATATTAAGGTGAATGGTCTAGAGGGTTTGTACACGGATTTTGGGAACGGCGAGCGATGATGTTTTGCAAGCTCACAAATGTCACATTTAAGATAAAAAGACGTTTTATTCGAAAAAATTGAAGGAAATACATGTCTTAGATATTGAAAATTAGGATGGCCCATTCTATAATGCCATAATAGGTTATCACTATTCTTAGGAACAAAAATAGAATCGCAACTAGCAAATCGACGTTGTTGACTCACATTAGTCTCGTCAAAGTAGTAGAGCCCCTCACACTCTTTAGCACTGTTAATCATCTTCCCTAGATCCTGAAAGGCACAGTAAGAAGGAAACAAAATGAGCGGAGCAATTTGAACCTTTTGTTAATTGACTGATTGACAATAAATTGCATGATAGATTTGGGACATAGAACATTTTCGAGTGTAATCAAATTAGAGATTCGAACTCTCCCTTTTCCAGCCATTAGGGATAGAGAACCATTTGCAATTTTGACTTTAAGTTTGCCGGCACAAGGTGTGTGTGAAATAAATAGGTGGCGTGAGTCTGTCATGTGATCGGATGCACCAGAATCGATAATCCATGATATTTTTGAAAGTAAGGTGGTGTTAAAGCTTCTTAGGATATTACCTCTATGAGCCAACGAACTTGAAGAGTTAGGTGATTGAAAGTTGGAGAACATTTTGTGGAGTTTTTCTAGCTGTTTAGGACTAAATACATTGCTGGAAGTAGAATTTTGCGTTTCAGAGGAATTGATTGCAACTTGGTAATCGTGATTTTTGGTGCTGTCTTGGTTTCCCATTGGATGGCTTTTCATGCAAATCCCAACACGTGTCCGCTTTGTGTCTAGGTTTTCGACAGTGTTCACACCACGGGTGACCAGTTTGTTGTCTTGGGCTGGCTCCAATTTTTTTGGTCCCTCTAAGCATTTGGGCTCCCAAATTAGGCCCACCATATTTAGACCCTTCATGTTAATTCCTTTTAGCCTCGGCAACAATCCCTTTAGGCCCAACTTCATGAGATCCAGGAGGCCCATTAAAATCAGACAATAGGGTCGACCCATCAAAAACTTCATCAGACCCAACTCCTTCCTTCTTCAACATAATCGACCAGCGACTCTCCTCGGGTCGAACTTCAGCGAAGGCGTCCCGGCCGACGAATGAGAATTCGGCCCCACACGTCGTCAAGTTCTCTGTCCAATCCAGCCAAAAATTCATACAATCGTTCATTCTCTACCCTCTTCTTATAGCGAACACCATCACTAGGGCAATCTCACTGTTCATCCATACTAAGGTCTAATTCCTGCCATAAAGAGGTCATTTCCATATAGTATTCAGTGACACTTCGGTCTCCTTGCTTTGCCTTCCAAAGTTTGGTCTTAATTTCGAAAATTTGTGATACATCCTCTGTGTCGAAGTACATCTCGTAAAGACTATTCCATATATCATTTGCAGTTGCAATGAAGAGGTAAATCTTGCTGATTGAAGGTACCATAGAGTTGACGAGCCATGACATAACCATAGAATATTTAGATTTCCATTTTGTTGGAGGACGGGATCCGCAGGTTGCTTCATATCGTCGGTAAGGTACCCACTTTTTCCTTTCCCTTCGACCACTAGCTTCATATCGTCGGTAAGGTACCCATGCTCTGATACTATGTAGAAGACAGAGAAAATATTTTTTATTCATAATATCTTACACCTCGATCTCTCTATATATACTACAATACAATTGATTTGGAAGGAAAGAAAATATTCTATCTTAAGGAAAGCAAAATTATTTCCTAAATTAACTCTAATTATTCCATACAATATATATTACAATCTTACAATCTCCCATAATTGATACGTGATTTCCACAATTCTCATGTCTGTTGTCTTGAATGATTCAATGTGCCTCTATATGCGACTCCATCAGAAAATTTTAAAATGCGATCAATTGTTCTTTAGAAACATGGAAGGGACGGCTTTTTTCCATTTTTCACACAGATTGAGAAAATGCAATTAATATAGTTGGAAATATAATTTTTTCTTACATTTTTCCTAATATACTCCTATATTAAATAATGATTTAAATAGGAGTATTTCATATTTGTTTATAACAAGGCACATTGAATAGAGGTATATTAGAAAACTAAGAAATCAATTATACTCTTAACAAGGAAATTGGCCTATAATTTGGGATACACGAAAAAGGAAAGTAAGCCTATCTTTATGGGACGGAGAGAGTAATAAACAAGCATTCTGGAATATTAAATTTCATGAAGTGATCAAATATTTCATTTTTTTTTCTCCTAGCCCAACTCCTATAAGAAAACAAACAGTTTATAAAAAGAACAAAATATAAAAAGGTTTCATTTGTCATTAATAGGATTCTTTTTCTCTAATCATGCTTTCATATTGTTATTGAAATATGCCTCATCTCAATGAATACAGCCTGCTATTTCTTATGTTATAATTTCATTAATTGAAATCTTATGTTCTTTACACATATTTTTTAGGAAGTCTCGAATCCCAAGAAAAATCATTCTGAAAGTTTAGTCCCTGAAAATGTTCTAAAAGAATAATCTGAAGAATTTTTCATATTATCTAAATCATTATTTACTAGGAACCTCTACTGGTCTGAGCATCCTATTAGTAATCAACCTAGAATCTTACAGTAAGCATCTGACATATTTTGCTTTGCAGGGAGTGGCAACGAAGTTGCAAGTTCTGAAGAAAAAATTGCATGAGGGAAATTTTAGTACTCTTGGTGAAATTCGAAAGACAGTTATAGAACTTTCAGCTCCGCCCAAGTTGGTACGTCCTTGCTTCATCCATTGTTTTTCTAATAGATACATTTGAATCAGATATCAAGATGGTGGTATTTTTCATACAAGTGATTCTATTGTCCTAGACAGTTTATAGCAGGATGTATATTACTTGGTTAACCTTCTTTCAGGTGAAAGAGCTCAAAGAAAAGATGCAAAATTCTGGCATGCCATGGCCCGGTGATGAAGGTCCACAGAGATGGGAACAAGCATGGACGGCCATAAAGAAGGTAAGAGTTCATGTATAAAGAAAAGTACGATGTACTTTCAAGGAAAGTAGCTCTATATTTTCTCCAATTATGACTCAACTCTACCTTTGCATGTTTGATAAGCTTAAAAGGTTCTCTAATAAGTTATTAAGTTCAAAATAATTAATCTTTGATTGGTCAAATTTTGTAGCAATTTGACGGTGAGGTAAAAGTTACTTTCTGAAACTACTTTTTTAATTTTTTAATAGGTTATCCACACATGCTCTCAGAATATGGGTTTAAAGATTTAAGAGTCGAACTTGTGTCCACGACCATTAAATCATATTTATGGATGAAAGTAGCTCTATATTTTCTCCAATTATGACTCAACTCTACCTTTGCATGTTTGATAAGCTTAAAAGGTTCTCTAATAAGTTACTAAGTTCAAAATAATTAATCTTTGATTGGTCAAATTTTGTAGCAATTTGACGGTGAGGTAAAAGTTACTTTCTGAAAACTACTTTTTTAATTTTTTAATAGGTTATCCACACATGCTCTCAGAATATGGGTTTAAAGATTTAAGAGTCGAACTTGTGTCCACGACCATTAAATCATATTTATGGACGAACCACTTAATGTTGTTCGCATTTTCTTAATTTTCTAGGTTTGGGCTTCTAAGTGGAATGAAAGAGCATATTTCAGCACAAGAAAAGTGAAACTCAATCATGACTTCCTTTGCATGGCCGTCCTTATTCAAGAAATAATAAATGCTGATTATGCATTTGTTATCCACACTACTAATCCATCTTCTGGGGACGACTCAGAAATATATGCGGAGGTAATTTATGTTACATCCTTGTTTCACTTGAATTTTTTAGTTTATGCCTCATCAAAAATGTCTCGTTTCAGAGATTGGTATAAGGTAATCAGTGTCTATTCACGTACTGCCTGCACTATGCCTCGCATAAGCTTATTGAGTCTGATGCATCGTGATGGCTGGTGAGGTGACATGTTAAACTAAAAATTGAGGGAGTTAAAACAATCGATAGCTGGGCTTGAAAAGATTTCAGTGTAAATTGTTAGTTCTGATCAGAGAAGGCAATTATATATTTATATATGTCTTTCTTCTGAATAGGTGGTCAAGGGCCTGGGAGAAACACTGGTGGGAGCTTATCCAGGTCGGGCTTTGAGTTTCATTTCCAAGAAAAATAACCTCGACTCTCCCCAGGTAAACTAAAGATTTTAGTCTCATACTCGAAGCTACTCTTGAAATAATTCCACTAATAGATAAGCCGAAAACAATTTTGCTTCCCGTTTTGTCTAACATTATGAAGTTACATATGGTGATATTGTAACAATTTTATTGCTCTAGGCTGAATGACCAGCGATTTATTGACTCTCGAATGTGTGAAATGTCCTTATATGGCTGAAAACTTTCAGGTTTTGGGTTACCCCAGCAAACCCATTGGTCTTTTCATAAGACGATCGATAATTTTCCGATCAGATTCCAATGGTGAAGATCTAGAAGGTTATGCTGGTGCAGGACTCTACGATAGGTATCTTTCAAAAGATTGAGAAATTTTCCAACTTAACCACATCTTTAGCATTGACAACTGATTTTATGCACACTTCACACAGTTTCAGCTGTGTTCATCTGCTTTGGCAATTATAATTGCCTTTATTCATCTGTATGAAGTGCATCTCTCTCTCTCTAATGCAGTGTGCCTATTGATGAAGAGGAGAAAGTTGTGCTCGATTACTCATCTGATCCACTGATCGTTGACTCTAACTTCCGTCAAAAAATCCTATCTAACATTGCACGTGCGGGAAATGCTATTGAGCAGCTATATGGATCTGCCCAAGATATTGAAGGTGTCGTGAGGGACGGACAAATCTATGTTGTCCAAACACGACCTCAGATGTGATCGTATTTTTATTCGCTTAGTATCTATAATAAGCGGGTTAAATTTCGTGGAGGATGCAAAAATCTCCAATATATCCAAGTGTCCGACAGTTTAGTCCTTGTCATTGGCACTTACTGTTTAGGATTTAGCACATACCAGAAATGTAAAGGTGAATGTTGTGGACCAATTTCTTTACAAGAGACCTACAAGTTATAAGGCATGGGTATATTATGAATAATGTTGTACTAAATGATGGGTGTGCTGAATAATCATGTTCAACATACTATTACAAATATAAAAAGTTCATATATGATTTGGCTAGATTTGCTTTATACTGATCGGTAAGGTAGATGGTATAGTACAGGAAACTATGAAAGAACAAAAAGTAGTAAAATTCAGTACTCGATACCAAGTATATTGGCTGAACGTTCTTGACTTATTAATAATAATTTTTACGTAGAACCAACTTCATGTTGTACCTGCTACTATTACGCACAATCACACACAAAGGAGTAACAGATAACTACTAACATCCGTCAATTTCCAGCTCTGATACGTTCATCCATACTTCATTTAATCGTCCCGAAAGATGAAATGAAGCGTTGTATTGTGCGATGGTGAAGGAAGATTTATCTCTTAAACCGGTCGACTTTCCAGCCAATAATTTACGTAAACTTGTTAAAAAAGCTTCAAATTCGCTATGGACATTTTCATCCTTGGCAAACCCAGAAAATTTCCTTACTGCTATGCATTGTGTTCTCCATTTCTCAACCTGCAGATTTAATGCAGGTGAGGGAAGTGGAGGAGCAGCCTCATATTTTTCTGGGACATAGAATTTCACATAGTAATCAGTTCCATTTTCTGTTTGGTTGATGTTGGTTAGGACAGGAGCTGTCATCATAAACTTGATAGAGTCGAGGTTTGCACCATGAATGTATTGATACAACCTGTGGAGAAAGCCAAAACACAGTACAATTCATATTGTTTAAGGAGTAAGAAAAGTAAAGAAAGATGACGATAAGTTTACATTACGTTTAGTACAGTGTACAATACCGTACTATCAAGTCTACTTTTTCAAAAAAGTCATTATAGACATGATTGGGTAATAGAACGTGCAAGATTTTAGTTTTTTCTTAAATTGTCTAGTATTATAGAGCCGACATCACTGAAGGAAGAGCTATTGAGATAAGGAGGACCTGTGGAAGCCGGATTCCGTGGAATTCTGGAAAGGCGTGCTGGCACCTTGGACTGGTGCAGAAATCCATGATGATTCTTTGTATATTCTGACCTCAATATCAGGCCATGAGTGCTGGATCTTGTATTGTGGAGACTCTATAGCAAAAGAAAATGCAAGTAGGCCAATGCAATGTGCCACCACAAGGCAGAGCCACTGCCATTTCTTGCTTTCCATGGTTCCAAGTGCTTAGGATTTTTGTTGCCAAAAAAATGTGTTTATGTTGTATCAACCTTTTGCCCTCTTTATATAGTGATGAGGAAATATGAGGACCAAAACAATTAAGAGAAAGTGAAAATATGATTATTTAGATACTTTTAGTTTTTTAGTCAGTCTGATAATTCATTGTACTCTATAGACATAGATAAGTTATATCATTTTTTAGTTTGAGCTTTCTACTTAAAACATGTTGGTCAATAAGATTTTTTGAAATTAATTGAGGACATATATATATATATATATATATATATATATATATATATATATAACTTGAAGGGTGATTTTTAGTATATATAATACTTTTAGTTTTTTAGTCAGTCTGATAATTCATTGTACTTTATAGACATGGACAAATTATATCATTTTTTAGTTTGAGCTTTCTACTTAAAACATGTTGGTCAATAAGATTTGTTGAAATTAATTGAGGACTAAAAATCACCCTTCAATTGAGAGTCGAGTAATAGAGTTGAGAGATAATATATATATATATATATATATATATACTTTCTTTTAATGGAATTTTTTAATAGAAATCATCATAAAAAATAAGATATGCTAATTAATGGAAGGTTAAAAATAGAATGCGATCAAAATTTTTTGAGAATATAAACTATGACAATGAGTAAAAGTCGGAATATTTCATGCAATTAAAATTTAGAATATATTACTCTTGTAGAAAAATATGGTGAAATTGAACGTGCAACTCTTCCTTCACACAACTGGGGAAATTGAAAAGATAATGGCAAACATGTGAAGCATTTTCTTATGTTTTCGATAAGTTAATTAACCAATCATGACCATAAAATACCAAGTGCTCTCCTAACCCACTCGGAGCATGTTTGACTAACCAATACTTGTACTATTATTTTCTCAAGAAAATTAAAAAATTATTAAGGGTCCAATTTGATGTAAATTTTTTAGAATAAATTATACAAAAAGTGATATTTAAAAAAAATCTTTTGTTAAAAAATGAAAAAAAGAATATGAATACACGTGCAAAATTATTTTATTGAAAAAAAATAGATTGTTGAAAATAGATTTGTGAAGAAATAAATTTTAAAGTATCTCAACCAAACAAGAATTAAGCATGTTGAAGACAAGATTTAATTATACGCAATCCTTACCTAACATCTTAATCTATTGAAATTGATGACAGTAATAAGAAGTTTTCATTCTGCCCACTAAAAGTAGGAGATCAAGCTATTTAATCTATTAGATGAAATGGTTAATATTGTAAGTAAGTAAGGTAAACAAATTAAATTCAAATCTCACTTTCGTCCATTTATGAGAAGTTTTGTATGTGCTTAACCTATTATCAACATAAATATATTCTTTAGAATTTATTTTTAATTTTTTTGCAACATTTTCTCCCACTTTTTATTTTCCGATACTCTTTAGCTTTATACTATATTATTTAGAATATTAAAGTAATAATATCGAAGCAATAAAAATGCAATGAAATTGGCATTAAAGATTTAAAATCTTATATTTGTTTTTCTAACCTTTTTTGCAGTAAATATCTTAGATCAACTTTAATTTGTTCATTTTTTAAAATGAGAACTCAATTTTCACAAAATTATGATTAAGATGAATTTTGTGTCTAAACTAATATTAAGAAAAATATAAACAAGAAAATAATATAATAACAATTTTCAATAGTATTCGATGATATTTGTAATAAGATAGAGTGTCTACAGTTGTTCATAAAATTCAAAAGACGATTCCTTGCTGTACTTTAAAGAAAATATGTTCTTAAAATATCAATAACTATCGTTCATATAAAAATGTTAATAGGGTAAAAGTAAGAAACCTAGTACAAACTAGAAAAAAGAAAGGAAAAGAAAATCACATCATATGACTTTAAAGAGATTCAATTGTTTGAAACTAAATTAACTTATCCTATATTAGTGGATGACACATTTTAAGATTAAAGTGGATTTCAACTAATGTTTGTGGGCTGCTTTTTCTTTATAAAGTGTCCTTAACGCCATAAGTACTTTTGGATGAAAATATTTGATTATAGTTTTGAAAACTTAATGGAAGTTGCAAAACAACTATATTATACTCGACGTTATTATGTACAAGAATTTAATTTATTTTTCTTTTTTATACTGTCAAAATTAATCAATTCACGTGATGAAACATGCTAGTGAAATTTTGAAAGTGAAGTGTCTTTGCTTATACATAGTTAACCAGTCTTGAAATATTTAAGAATACCCTTAATTAACTTGCTTGACATGATCGGGTGCACAACTCCTGCTAAAAATTTACATGGTCAGGAAACTTCCCAAAATGCCATTTCTCTCTTGTCGTAAAGAGTCGATCAACCATGACCAAGGAGATACACAAGCCCATACATATCAACAGCAAACCATGGAGCTTTACTCCTTTCAATAATTTGCATATCTAACCAGTCTAAAGAATCACCTCATTTCTTTTCTACATGGAGATGCCAAATATCTGCCATTGCAAAAACAACAAATCCTAAAACTGTTTTCATAGCATCAAGATATATATATATATATATATATATATATATATATTTAATTAAAAAGTATATTAAAATCCTAATTATATAATTTTACTTTAGGATATTTAAGTAAATAAGAAAATTGTGGTACAATTAATAAAATTTGTCGTGGTAATATAATTACCCCTTATATTTTAATCAAAACCAAAATCTTGTAATAAAGATGGAAGTTATCACCTGGTGAGTGAATGCACAATGCCAATTTTAGGATTCATCTGTAGACCTTCGAAAATGGCCAATATGTGTCATTAGAAGATAATGTGCACGTAAGTATAAAAGGAACAGTCGCATGCAAATAGAGAGGAAAAGTAAACGAACAAGAGATCCAATGACTTGAAATATAGGGAGTTGTATTTATTTTTCCCTCAAAAATGTGCCAAAAATTGATATGCCCATTCCTTATTCTTTTTTCTCGATTTTCCCCCTTTTCTCTTTCTATGTATGTGTTGTTTCTTTTGTTCCACACATCTCTTCTTCTTTTTTCTTCTCTCTAAGGGAAGGGTATATATAGAGTTTGGGGAAAATGTGGTGGCCCTTGGATCCAAGCCACGTGCCCCTACATCCTTCTTTTATACTTCACATCCTCCTTACACATGCATTTATTATATTGACAAAGAGTCAACTGCTTTATATTTCTAAGCTGATATTCTTGACATAAGATAAGGTAGACGTCCAATAAATCTTTTACAAAGATATTCTTCAGGTCGGCAGATGTGGCTACCTTTTCGTCTTTTAGGGCTTCAGCCTCGTCTTTCAGAAGAACATGAGAACTTCGTACAACTCTTTGTTAGGGCCTCAGCATGTATTTGGTTGAGCGACACCTTGGCCAAAACAAGGACTTCAGCTTTGATAGCCATTGTGACCTTGTTGCTTCGTCTTTTCAGAGGTTTGGCTAACTCATCCGATGATGTTAGTGGGGCTTCTACGTGTTGCCTCTGATGGCTAACTTAACATGGGGAGTAACATCAGTCCCCCTAAGTCTAACTGTTAAATACTCATATCAGAATTTAGACTTGCCAAAAACATACATCGAAACTTAGGCCGAGGCTCATATGCTTTGGACAAACAAATGACTTTTTCTCAAAGTATGTTCACGAAGAACCAAAGTCATAAATGCCGAAGTTGTTAATTGTAAAATCGAGGTGATTTGTATAGAATTTCGATCGAAGTAATATATCATGAGGGTTGGTTTGGACAGTTGGAATTTCTTTATTCATTTATTGCCATAGATTGTTATGCTGCCATTTTGACCTTCTCGAAGAGGGCGATGTCTCTTGTTTTCAATGTATGCCATTTGATACATGTTTTGATCCAAATCGTAGAAGTTAAACGGTCAGATGCAAGGAATGGTTTGGATGTGGCCCGAATTTGGACGGCTCAAATCTTTGAGATCTAACAGTTGGGAATGCATGTGTTTGTCTATAAAAGGCTCATTTGCTTGATTTTCAATCATTTGCATAAGTCATGTTGACTCGTGGGTGCCTTTGTGATCATAATCGAAAATATGTTTGTACTTGGTGGATTTTGATGAGAATTGGTGCAAGAAACTATTTGGTTTTGGATGATGCCATGGAGTATACAAATTTGATGTTTCTTGGGTATAATATATTGGATGTTCAAACCCATGAAAATGAAAATGCAGCCTTAGCATAATCTTCTTTGAATGCTCTGAAAGCGGTGCTGAGGTGCCCATTGCTTTAAACAAATTATGTTACAATAGAGTGCGACTACCATCCGAAGTGTCCTAAGTGGCATTATGTAGATCCTCAGTGATATTGTAGTCAGGGCTTGAGTTTCAACATGGTCTAGTTGACCTTGTAATTGTAAAGATTGCTTGCTTATACGGTAGACGTTCCTCAAAAAGGAGAGGTCTAGCGGATTATGTATCTAACACAATAGTTGTACTTTGTATTATAAATTTTTACTTATTTTGCGAAGTTCCATGTGATGCTTTGTAAAGGGCTTACTGTCCCTAGTTGTAATATGTTGGTAATGATGAATAAAATTTCTATCTTTTATGCAAATTTGTGTTTGAATTGAGTTCGAAATTGTTAGTACTTTGTATTTGGGGGTACTTTGTGAGGGTCGTTGCCCCCTATCTTTCTATCTTTTCATAGGTAACTTATGCCTTTTCATGGAAGCGATCCTTATAGGACCTAGGCTCCGTGTTTGTTTTGCCACTGGGATTGATATTTTTAATTTTGGAAGTGAGCTATTTCAAGGTTCAGCTCATTTGTCTCTTAGACTAATATTTTTATTGAAAGGTCTCCTGGGCTCATAGTCATTGACTTATCTTTTGAGCTCATATATTTTGAAGTGCCTTTATAGATCGATGCCTCTTAAGCTGATTTTCATAGAAGTGCATCTTGTGCTACTTTCTTTTATTCCTTTAAAGGAATCGCTTCGAAAACTGTAGTATATTTTGTCGACATTTCAACAGCATCCCCTCTGCAATGTGT